TTGCTGGATAGATCCTGTCAATATTATTTACTGGCCTTTTTTGTCTCTAATTATGGCCTTCATTCCGAAATCTATTTTATCAGATATGAGTATTGCTACCCCGGCTTTTTTTTTTCTTTTCCGTTTGCTTGGAAGAATTTTTTCCATCCCTTCACTTGCAATCTATGTGAGTCTTTTTTGTGAGGTGGGTCTCTTGTAAACAACATATAGATGAGTTATTCTTTCTTATCCAATCAGCTACTCTGTGTCATTTTATGGGAGCATTCAGTCCATTTACATTTAAGGTGATTATTGATATGTACTTATTTATTGCCATTTTTGTTTAGTGTGGTTCTATTTTTCTTCCCATTTCTCCTGCTAATTACAGCAGTCCTTGTAACATTTCTTGCAGTGCTGGTTTCATGCTAATGTATTCCCTTAGCCTTTTTTTTTTTTTTTTTTTTTTTGTCTGGGAAGCTCTTTATTTGACCTTCTATTTTGAATGATAGCCTTGCTGGGTAGAGTAGTCTTGTATTCAGGTCCTTGTTTTTCATGACCTTGATTACTTCATGCCATTCCCTTCTGGCCTGTAGTGTTTCTTTTGAGAAGTCAGCTGAGAGCCTTATGGGGTTTCCTTTGTAGGTAACCTGTTGCTTATCTCTTGCTGCCTTTAGGATTCTCTCTTTGTCTTTAATTTTTGGCAATTTGATTACTATGTGTCTTGGCGTGGGCCTGTTTGGGTTCTTCTTACTTGGGGCTCTCTGTGCTTCCTGAACTTGAATGCCTTCTTCCTTCACCAAATTAGGGAATTTATCTGTCACTATTTCTTTGAATATATTGTGTAACCCTTGCTTATTTTCTTCTTCCTCAGGGACTCCTATGATGCGAATATTATTCCGTTTCCAATTGTCCCACTGTTCTCTTAAGGTGTCTTCCTGTTTTTTAATTGTTTTTTTTTTCTTTTGGTTTTCTGATTTGTTGATTTTTTCTAGCCTGTCTTCTAATTCACTGATCCGGTCCCCAGCTTCCCCTTCTCTTCTTTTTAGACCTTGCAATGTGTTTCTGATATGTCATTCTTCATTTCTTCCTGTTAGTTTTTAATTTCCAACTGGCTGATTTTCAACATTTCTATGTCTTTACTCATGGTGCTCATATCCTTACACATGCTGTTTAGCTTCCTCAACATCATGGCTCTAAATTCTAGTTCTGTTAACTTGCTTAACTGCACCTCATTTATCTCATGTTCCATAGAGGTCTCTTGTTCTTTCATTTGGCTTTTGTTTCTGTTTTTCACCATTTTGGCTATCACAGTGGGCTTTGGAGTCTGCCAAATTTTCCCTGTGGATGTTGGTGTTCTGCTGTTTGTGGCTCCCTCTCCTGGGTTTGGATCCGCCAGGGATGACCCACTTTAAACACCACTGTCAAGTCTTAGCTTTTCTGGTTAGTGTTGCTAGCCCAGGGAATGGTAGTTATCCTCCAGCGTTTTTTGCCTGCAGGCTATTAGTAGAGGTCACCTGAAGACTCTTGGTTTCTGAGTTGCCTGAAAAGCTCCCTCAGGTGCTCAGTTTAAGAGGATTTTCTGAGGTTGGGGCAGCTGCTGGTTGTTAATGGGCTTCAATTAGCATTTCAATGGCCACCAGGTGGGGTTGAATCTCTGAGGGAGGGGCCTCCGCCTCTCCCCAGGGCTCTGGGAAAGAGTAAAATGACCACAGTCTTGCGTGGCTGCACTCAGGGAAAGCTCTTAGCACTCTCCAAAACCCGAGTGTCCCCACACTTTCCAGTCCCGTCTGCCTTCCCCCTGCTGGTGACCAAGGTGAGTGGCTGCAGCCAATTTATCCTCTGTCTAGACTCTGCGTAGTGGAGCCTCCTGGGACTTTTAACCCAAAGGCGCTGCTTCCAGCCAAGGGCGGCCGAGGATGTGGCACCAGTGGAGGGCATTGCACTCAGCAGAAACCCCAGGACTGAGCCGTGGTAGCGGGACACTGCGGAGGTGGCAGCAGCTTCCAGCAGAACCCCCTGGTCCCCGGGAGTCCATGTGGCGCCAGCCAAGGGCTTAGCACGCAGAGTTTGAGGTACTCAGCCTTGGTAGCAGTGTCCTGCCGATTCCCCTGGTCCCAGCCAGTCCATGCCAGTCAGTGCGGCACCAGCTGAGGGCTTAGCACACATCCGAGTTTGTAGGACTCAGGTGTGTCGCAGCCAAGGCGGCAGCAGCATCTTCCCACCGATTCCCCTGGTCCCGGCACAGGCGGCTGCGGACCTTGGGTTACCGGCCCCCTCTCGCATCCTCACACGCCTGCCAGGATTGAATCGGTGTCCCTGGTTATGTGGTCCTCCAAGGTGTCTTTTCGTTGCCCCTTCCTGAAGATTTGCCTTTATTTTCGTTTTAAATCCATTTTGGTCCTGGGAAATGGTCTGTGTAGCTCCATTCACTCCGCCACCATTTCTCCGGTTCTGCCATCAATTTCTTGATGTTAATTTTGTATCCTGCTACTTTTCCAAATTCATTTATTAAGTCGAGTAAATTTTTATGGAGTCTTTGGGGTTTTCTATGTATAGTATCATGTCATCTGCAAATAATGATAGTTTTCTTCCTCCTTTCCAATTTGGATCCCTTTTATTTTTTCTTCCTGTCTGATTGCTGTGGCTAAGACTTCCAATACTGTTAAATAAAAGTGGAGAAAGTGGGTATCCTTGCCTTGTTCCTGGTCTTAAGGAAAATGCTTTTAGTTTTTGCCCACTGAGTATGATGTTGGCTGTAGGTCTTTCATATATGGCCTTTATTATGTCTAGATATGATGCCTTTATTCCCACACTGCTGATCTTTTTTGTCAGAAATGGTTGCTGGATTTTGTTGAAGGCTTTTTCGGCATCTATTGATATGATCCGTGGTTTTTATTCTTCCTTTTATTTATGTGTTGTATCACGTTTATTGATTTGTGAATATTGTACCAGCCTCCATCACTGGGATGAATCTCACTTGGTCATGGTGGATAATTTTTTTGGTGTATTGCTGCATCCGATTTTCTAGTAATTTGTTCAGGATTTGGCATCTATGTTCGTCAGGGATATTGGCCTGTAGTTTTCTTTCTTTGTAGTGCCTTTTTCTGGTTTTGGAATTTGAATGATGCTGCCTTCATAAAATGAGTTGGGAAGTCTTTCTTCTTCTTGAGTTTTTTTGAAATAGGTTGATGAGAATTGGTGTTAGCTTTTCTTTGAATGTTTGGTAAAACTCCCCCATGAAGCCATCCAGGCCTGGGCTTTGGTTTGCTGGGAGAGTCTTCGTTACATCTTCAATTTCTTCGATTGTTATTGGTCTGTTCATGTTTCTATCTCTTCCCAGTCCAGTTTTGGGAGACTATGTGTGTCTAGAAATTTGTTCATTTTGCTTAGATTGTCGAATTTGTTCCCATATAATTATTCATAGTAGATGTTAACGACCTTTTGTATTTCTGTGGTGTCAATTGTTACTTTTCCTCTTTCATTTCTGATTTTGTGTATTTGGATTCTCTCTCTTTGTTTCTTTCTGAGTCTAGCTAAGGGTCCATCAATCTTGTTTATTTTTTTGAAAAACCAGATCTTTGTTTTATTGATCCTTTGAATTGTTTTTTTGGATTTTATGTCATTTATTTCTGCTCTGATCTTTACTACTTCCTTCCTTCTACTTTCTCTGGGCTTTACTTTTTGTTTGCTTTCTAGTTCTTTAAGTTGTGAGGTTAGATAGTCTATTAGAGATTTTTCTTGTTTTTTGAGGTAGGCCTGTAGTGCTATTAACTTCCCTCTCAGAACTGCTTTTGCTGCATCCCCTAGATTTTCTGTTGTTGTGTCTTCATTTTCATTGGTTTCCAGGAAGTTTTTGAATTCTTCCTTGATTTCCTCGGTAACCCATTCATTGTTTAATAACATGCGATTTCGCTCCCATGTGTTCAAATGTCTTTGTATCTTCTTCTTGCAATTGATTTCTAGTTTCATGCCATGGTGATCTGCGAAGATGCTTGATATGATTTCAGTCTTCTTGAACTTGTATAGACTTAGTTTGTGCCCTAACATGTGGTCTATCTTTGAGAATGTCTCATGTGCACTTGCAAAAATGTGAATTCTGTGGTTTTGGGGTGGAATTAGCTGTAGATATCTATTAAATCCATTTGGTCTAGTGCTTCATTTAGAGTCTCTGTTTCCTTGCTAATTTTTTGTCTAGAGGATCTATCCAGTGATTTCAGTGGGGTGTTGAAGTCCCCTGCTATGATTGTATTGCTGTCGATTTCTCCTTTGAATTCCTCCAGAAGATTTTTAATATATTTTGGTGCTCCTATATTGGGTGCATATATGTTTATCAAGGTTATATCTTTCTGTTGGATAGATCCATTCAATATTATGTAGTGGCCTTCTTTGTCTCTAGTTATGGCCTTCATTTTGAAATCTATTTTATCACATATGAGTCTTGCTACCACAGCATTTTTTCCTTTCTGTTTGCTTGGAAGATTTTTTTCCATCCCTTCACTTTCAACCTATGTGAGTCTGTTGTTGTGAGGTAGGTCTCTTGAAAACAACATATAGATGAATCATGCTTTCTTATTCAATCAGCTACTCTGTGTCTTTTTATTTATTTATTTTTTATCCTCATCCAAGGACATTTTTTCATTTTTTGTACAGACAGAGTGGGAGGGAGAGAGAGGAAGAGAGAGAGAGGGAAACATCGATGTGAAAGGGACACATAGAGTGGCTGCCACCCGCACAACCAACCAGGGCCAGGGACAAGCTGCAACCAAGGTACATGCCCTTAGCGGGAACCGAACCCGGGTCTCTCAGGACCGCAGGCGGACGCTCTAACCGCTGAGCCAAACCAGCCAGGGCTTTTATTTATTTATTTTTTTATCCTCATCCGAGGACATTTTTCCATAACTCTGTGTCTTTTTATGGGAACATTCAGTCCATTTACATTTAAGGTGATTATTGATATGTACTTATTTATTCCCATTTTTGTTTAGTGTGGTTATATTTTTCTTCCTATTTCTCCTGCTAATGAAAATATGGACCGCTTCATGAATTTACATGTCATCCCTTCACAGGGGCCATGGTAATCTTCTCTGTATCGTTCCAATTTTAGTATATGTGCTGTGAAGTGAGCTCTTGTAGCAGTTTTATTTATTTATTTATTTATTTATTTTTTTATTTATTTATTTTTTTATTTTATTTTTGTTACAGATGTTTCTCCTTTTTTATCCCATTGACACCCTTCTTCTTATGCCCTTCCCCCCCCCCGCCCCGTCTCCTGCTTTGTTGTCCATGTCCATTGGTCTTGTAGCACTTTTAAAAATCATGTCAGTATATAAGTTTATTTTCTTTCTAAATTATGAGCTAACCTCTGATTTAATAAAATAAAATCTCTAGAATATAGCTCCGTGCCTGGAACACAATAAACATTCAATCACAACATATGTTTTTTAGTTGATAATAAATTAGAAATGCTTTTAATGAGATTTTTTGGGAACACCTTATGTTATAAAACTTACATTTTCTAGGGATATTTATTTAGACTAGTGAATTTTTATTCTTCTACTACCATATGAAAATAATGGGCCTTTGTGGGGATAAAGGGAATGTTAAGTCAATTTACCCATGTGTGAAATGATTACGTTTGAGTGAATAATGTAAAATCCTATGAGGTTTGATATTAAATAAAGAATAGATTTTTCATTTCTATAGTATAGTGCTCACATGGTCATGATTTAGCTTAGAAAATGCATACCAAAAGATATGTGGGCAAATAAATGGAAATATGCAAAATTTGCAAACATATGCATATTTTATTTTGCAATAGTGATCTAATTCACTTTTAAGAACAAGACTAAACAAGGGCCTACCTCTGTAAATAATCCTATTTGTATTACTTTTCAAAGGTGTAACCCTTTACTTAATCCTGTTCTTGTCTTACCATCAAATATTACTTGCTTTGGGTCTGATCAATTTGGGGGCATTTTTTCTAATTTCCAAGGTCACAACTGGAGAGCCTAATAAAATAATCTATGAAATTGTTCTAATATATTTATAGAGGAAGAATTATAGCCAGGTTCAGTTTATTATGTTATTCTGAATGATTTAAATATAAGGAAATACAGTAGCCTTATGATTGTTGTTTAGGCAGAAAAGTAAATTTATTATTAGACATCTCAAGCATGATTTCAACAATAGTAGTTCTTAAAATTTCACAGTAAGTAGAGATCTTGAGGTCAGTAGATCGTAAACATTTTTACTTTGTACCTTTCCACCAAGCATTTGGATATGTGGAGGATGTTTAGGTGAACACCAATTATAAATACATCTAGTTATACATTGTTTATATATCTTTCATTTATTTAAACATTCACCTACTAGAATAGTACTATGAACAATATTGGTGCTTAATAAATGGTTAATAAATTCTAAATTATTAAGAATTGGATTTATTTCAAAATTATTATTTCATTTGTGGATATGAAAGAGGAGACTCATTTAATCTTTCCATTACAAACAATTCTTCACTTATAAGGCATATCCTTTTAATATTTAGTCCAAATCTATGATTGTTGTCAAATGCCCTTCCATTCACATTTTGTTAACTAAAAACATTGCTTTTTAAGATTGTCTCCATTTTTTTTGGTTGTACATTAAAAGCAAAAAAGAAAAGCAAATGTTAAATGTAAGGACACATTCTAAATATTCCTACAGAGATAACATTTTGTTGTCAGCTTAGATTGTGAAGTAAGTGGATAGAAATCAAAATGCACTCACAAGAGGTAGTCTTTTGAGACTCCTATTGATGTCTGTATTATACATAAGGAGTGCACAGGTTATCTGTGTGAACTATTGTGTGGCTGTAGATCCAGGGATTTTATTCTTTTGCTATCAAACTCCCTTTAGGCAGTAAATCAAGAGAGTATAAACTGAAAAACCTACAGATAAGAGATTTTGAGTACTTATAAATAATTCATCCATTCCTTCTAGCATTTAAATGACTATAAAAAGTTACTGATCTATGGGCATGTCATGCTTTTTCTTTTCATGTCAGTTTCTTGGTTTCTACTTGGTTTCCTTTTCCTACTTTTACTTTTGAAATGTAAGAATATAAGAAATTATCATTTTAATATACTTTCTGTTTTCACAAATCATACTTGGTAACAAATCCTTTAGAATATTATGATGTTAAAGAAATCATTCATAGAAGAACCAAAATCACTACAGCACGATCTGATTGGAAAGTGTATTTTATGCAAGTTTTACAACATATCTAGAGTTTATACATTAGCAAAATTTAATTTAAATATGTTTTGATCAGAAATTCTTAATTGTACTTCTGTATTCTGTGTTGTTTCTTGCATTTGGCTTCCCCCAAAATACAGATATGACTTGAACATAATTGATATCACAAATTTAGGAAAACAAATAAGACTAGGGATGGCAAATGGATAGCATAATTCCAACTATCAACCGCCTCATACCAATAACACTAATCACTGATTAAACAAAGTATTTTTCACCTTCTCCTCATCAAGATGTGGCACCTTTGAGCATCACTCTAGAGAGGCGCACTAGCTGTCCAACAGAAGTCGAAAAAATTCTAACATCATTTATCGTCACCTATTGGGAAAAAAGATTCAGTTCAATTTATTCCACATATTACAAATATGGTTGTATTAAGTAAGAGGTGGATATGCAACATGAAGACTGAGGCAATGTATGGATTGATTAATTATTGATTAATTCTTTATTTATTGAGTTCTGAATATACATCAAGCATTGAACTATAGCCTGAATATATAAAGATAAATTAAGACAAGACCCAAGCCCTCAGTCTGTTACAGAGTCATACAAATAAACCATTGTAGTATTAAGTACTAAATCATAAAAATAATGTGGAAAAGGCTACAGGCACAGATAAAATAATATAAGAACTGTCTGTTATTGCCTAGAGTACCTAAAGAAGACTTTTACTGAGGAAATAACATTTAAATAGATTTTGAAAGATGAGTAGGAAAGTGGGTTGGGGAGGGAGATGGGTGAGAACAACACCACTACAGGTAGAAATAATGACAGGGAAAAAGAAAGATTATGATGGGGTACATCTTGATTAGAGAAAGATGAATCATTTCATGAGGATGTACAGCAGAAAAGGAGAAAAAATTAATAATTCCAAGCTGTAAAGGGCCTCATATGTCATGTAAAGGAGTTTGAGTTTCTGGCATGGATGTGAAGATAAAGGAACTCTTGTGCACAGTTGGTAGGATTGGAAATTGGTATAGCCACTATGGAAAGCAGTATGGAGGTTCCTAAAAAAATTAACAATAAAACTACAATATGATCTAGCAATTCCAACTCTGAAAATATATGCAAAAAAACACACTAAGTCAAAAAGATAAATGCACTCACATGTTCACAGAAGTATTATTTACAGTAGTGAAGACATGGAAACAACTTAAGTGTCCATTGATGGTTGAATAAATAAATAAATTGGGGTCTGTATATACAATGAGATATTATTCAGCCATAAGAAATGAGGATGCTATCATTGTGACAACAAGGATGGTCCTTGAAGGCAATATACTAAGTGAAATAAGTCAGACAGACAAAGATAACAGATGCTGTATGGTTTCACTTACATGTGGAATCTAAAAAGAAACAAACAAAACTCACAAAAGCAGAGATCAGATTGTGGTTACCAGAGGTGGGTGTTGCTGGGAGGGGAAACTTGGAGGAGGGTGATTAAAAGGTACAAACTTCAAGTTATAAGATAAATAAGTACTATAGGTATAATGTACAACATGATGACTACATTTAACACTGCTGTATGTGAGAAGAAACCTTTATTAAGGGTTGCTGTATAGTTCTAAAAATCAAGCAGCATGGCATCAGCAGAGATAGACACATCAATCAATGAAAGAATACAGAACCCAGAAAATATCCTCTCACAGGTATGACCAAACAACTTTTGACAAAAGTGCAATAGGAATTTAATGGAGGAAAGATAGCCTTTTCAACAAATGATGCTGGTGCAATTGGACACCTATAAGCCAACATAATGCTAATGCTAATAATAATAATAATAATAACAACAACAATAATAACTCTGACCTAAAGTTCATATCCTAATCAAAACTTAACTCAAATTAATAAAAAACATGAATGTAAAATATAAAACTTATACTTTTATAATAAAACAAAGGCAAAAGTCTTTTGGATCTTGGCTAGGTAACAACTTCTCAGACTGGACACCAAATGCACTATCAGTAAAAGTAAAATTAATCTAAAGACATGGAGGCATGGAACAGACTGATGAATTTTAGAGGGAAGGGGGAGGAGGGGTAAGAAGAGATTAACCAAAGAATTCTTATGCATATATGCATAACTAATGGACACAGACAATAATGTGGTGAATGCTGGGAGAAGGGTGCAGGAGGAGAGTGGAGGGGGTCAATGGGGGAAAAAGGAGGACATCTGTAATATTTCCAACAAAAAAGATAAATTTTAATACAGGGAAATTGGTAAATTGGGCCTTACCAAAATTAAAAATATTTGTTCTGTGAAAGACCCTGTTAAGAAAGTAAAAATATAAGCTATACAAGGGAAGAAAATATTTGCAAACCACATATCTGAAGAATTCTTATAACTTACTGGTTAAAAAAAGTCAACTATGAACTGGGAAGAAGACATGAAGAGACATTTCACCAAAGAGGAAGAGGATATACAGGTGGCAAAAAAGCTGTTCAACATCATGGCCATTAAGGAAATGCAAATTAAAGCCACAATGATATTTCACTACACAAAAATCAGAATGGTTAAAAAAAACAAACAAACAAAAAAAAACAGTGACAACACCAAATGTTGACAAGTATGCTGACAAACTGAATTATGTATACATTACTGTTTGAAATGTAAAATGGCACAGCTTCTCTGGAAAACAATTTGGTAATTTCTTATAATTTAAATATGCAACAATCATGTTGCTCAGCAATTGTACTCTGGGCCATTTATCTCAGAGAAGTAAATACTTATAGTCACACAAAATTTGTATACAAGTGTTAATAGAAGCTCTTTTCATAATAGCCAAAAATTTGAAACAACCCAGAAGTCTATAAATGAGTGAATGGTTAAAC